GGCATTAGAAGAACATTTCTGACTGCCTGCCCAATCAAAGCCGTTGCTTTCTAATGCCTGCCTGGTCCCAAAGTTCGCAAAGTATAAAAATATGCCAGGTGGAATACTCAAATTCACAAAATAAAAACACATGGACCGTGCTGCCCCAGAGATGCACAAATAATAATGATTTCGTTGCAATGTTGCCAGACTTTTTTGACGTCAACTGAGTGACAAAAACCCTTCAAAATCCTTCAAAACAGTGGCGGTTGGCCGGCACCACAAAATATTTTACCAAGACAAAAAACACTACCCATACCTAACATGAATTTGAAAAGCGGAAAAGTAACTTTTGGAAGAAAAAATTTATAATTTTTTTTTTTTTTAAAGATAATTCCCCAAGTCAAAAATTTAGGAACCATGTTGGCAACACAAGCCTTTTCTACATAAAAAAATTGAAAGCATTGACAATTTTACATTGTATTGCCAACATAATGTCATTTTGACTTTTATCTTTCAAAAAAAAACATACTTTAACAAAATTCTGACAATTGACACAAAATCACCATCTTCAAGCAGTCATTCGCCAATGGTACAGGGTGTTTGTTTATAGCTGGAACACTCAGTAACTTTTTTATTAGGGAAAATAGAGGGCATGTTTAAATTGGAAAATGTCTTGGTTAATTGCATCGATTTTAATCGACACAACGATGTTTTTTTGGCGCCATAAGTATACAGGGTGCGTCAAAAAAGGCATTTTTTTAATGGGTTGCCCTGTATGTTTTTGAATTTTTAAAATTCCCAAAAATTAGCTTCACAAAAATTTCAAAAACTATTTGGATAACAAAAATTCACAGGACGTTCCATTGAAAAATAGTTTTTTAACGCACCCTGTAATCTGTATACCTATGGAGACAAAAAAATATCGTTGTAGCACTTGATACGTTTACTACCATGTGGTACGGGTACGCGTTCAGTGCCTCACAAGAATCTCATGTCTGTGCGTTGAGCTTCTCATGTTTTTCTTCCATTTTATGCGGCGAAGTACAGCAGAGGGCTCACGGTTGCCTATTTTCTCTATGGAAATAAATTAAGCGTGGCACAGTGAGACGTTCTGTGTAAAAACCTGATTCTACTTCTACTTATATTTCTGTTATCTGCGACTAAGAATACGTGGAAATTACTATACAGGGTGTATATTTTAAGTGATACCACTATTGATATATCCGAAACGGTAAGAGCTACAAGGTCGGTTAAATTAGAAAAAAGTTGCCTTTTTTGATGCCCATTCAAGGCTTGCTTACAGTGTTGCCAAATTCCATTTGCTTTATGAAATACAGGCTGATTTCTAAGAAACGCCTAAAAATATTTCATCAATTATTTCGAAAACTATTGATTTTGGAGACACAATTTGAATCTGAAAGTTTTTTAATTTTTTTCGCTCTACAATATGGCATCTTCAAATTTTGAATCAGACGTTTCGTGATTGAGCTACCATCATCAACTTTATTTTTTTAAATACGGACTTGGATTTTTTATGTCATTTTAAGAAAGCGCTTTTTATTCCCTTTCTTATGATATGCCTCTTAAGTATGATTGACGTTTCTGCTCCAAAAAGTGATAAAAAGTGATTTTTACCAAAATCTTACCTTAATTCGGCCCAAGTTATGAACCTGAATTTAATAAACTAAAAGGAATTTGGCAACACTGTAAGATAGTCTTAAATAGGCGTCAAAGAAGGCAACTTTTTTCTAATTTAACCGACCTTGTAGCTCTTACCGTTTCGCATATAGCAATAGTGGTATCACCTAAAATATACACCCTGTATAGAAAAAATTGGCACAAGGGTACCTGATTTGGGCTTTCCATGGTGGCAGTCAACGTGTTAAGACTGCAATTTACCAAGAAATTTTCCAACTTGAACATGCCCTCTATTTTCAATAATAACATAAAGTAACTGAGTGTTCCAGTTATCAGGGCCGGATTAACCATAAGGCGGAAGTGGGCGAAAAGTCAAAGGGGCCGAAAAATTGTAAAGATAAAACTAAAGGGAAAAAATTCAGAAAATCAAACAGCAAAATGACAAAAACTCGACTCACTTAACTTTTTTGAAATAAACATATTCAGCATTAATGCAGCAAAAAGAGACGGAGGTAGAGTAAAAGCATTTGCTACACTTTATTCATATGACTGATTATGACAACATTTTGACCTTCGAACTGCATTTTTGTATAAATTTGTTATATTATGGGCATTTTCCAAATTTCACCGATAAATTGACCGGTTAAATAAACCGGTAGCTGTCAAAAAATTCTGGTAAAAGTTAGGTGTATATCCGATACAAGATTTTTCTGATGCATTTTGGAACGCTTCGGTGTGTTAAAGTTTGGTTGTAACGGTTGTGTTGCAACAGTTCAAGGAACGACTGCCGATAATGCCCATTCAAAGAAATTGATGTACGTCAAAAAAAGTGTCGAAAAATCTCCAACCGAAAAAACCGACAAAAATTCCCGGTGGATCCGGTGCCTCACCGGTTTCAAACAGCAGATCATTCCGGTCAATTTTGGAGCGGACAATCTGGTTCAATTGGTAAAAAGACGGTACATTCTGGAACAGTTTGGTGAGTGAATTGAGCCGGAGTCTCATGCATCCGTTTTCCGACGTTTTATGTCCGAAAAACCTTCTATTTTGACATATTTTTATACGATTATGACAGAATAGAAGGTTTTTCGGACATAAAACGTCGGAAAACGGATGCATGAGACTCCGGCTTTAAACCGGTATCGCACCAGTTTAGAAACCGGTGAATTTTAGAAAGTGCCCTATCTGACGGAGAAATAAAAACAAAAGCGCAGCGATTTGAAGAAACAGGAACATGTAAAAACGATCTGGACGATTATTTTCCTCAGAAATGTCTCCAATATAAATTTTTCCTGATTTCTAGTGGTCACGATGGCACCTTAAATTTGGATAAACTTCCACAAAGTTTAAAGTCTGAAAAACTAATTTCGACATTTCCCAATATCGAGGTACCATTGATAATGTATCTTTGCCTTCCATCGGTTAACGCGTCTGGAGAGAGGTCTTTTTCTACCCTAAGGAGGATTAAAGACTATCTTAGAAACACACATTCAGATGAAAAGACAAGTGACTTGGCACTAATCAACGTGTCTCATGCCATCTTTAATTCAAAATACTAAGTTTTTGTCACCCAGGGCCTGAAAGGGCGCGAAATAATTTTTATGTCATACCAATACATTATTGTGTTTTTATACTTTAGATACCATCTATATAATCCATTACTTTATGCCCGTGCGGGCATAAAGTACACATTATGGCCCGCGCGGGCATAAAGACGCAAAAACCAGTTTTCAATTAACTTATTCTTTATTAACAAAATATAAATTTACGCTTATAAACATATTATTTTTGTCAAAAAATGATGATGTTTGCACACTGATGACAATTTGCGAAGTGACAATTTTTTCCCAGGTATTTATTATTCACAACCAACTGGTATGACATAAAAGTTTGTATGCACCACGGGTACTAATAGATATATATACCCTCGGGCGACTTACGAACCCTCGGGCCAGAGGCCCTCGGCTTTGTAAGACTGTCGCCCTCAGAGCATAATCATCTACTTAGTACCCTTGATACATAAATAACTATAATCGCACAGGGGCGAAAAAAGGCTTAATCCGACCCTGCCAGTTATACACAAACACCCAGCAGATCTGAGATCAGAACTCTTGTCTCCAGTGACTTCACCTGTAACCGACTTAGCAATGGCGTCAAACACTCATCCTAGAATCCCAACAGCACTAATACCTATTACCAGCTTGTTGAAAAATCATTATCAGTACCTATCTAGGTATAATAATAAATAAATGTCGATAATTTAAATACCTATGCGTGTATGTACAATATAATATGTTTAATGAAAAAACCCATATTTTCTTTGTGGCCTACTTTGCTAAGGTCCTAGAAAAAATGTTGATCCTAAGTCAGGCATAAAGTCTTTTTCCTGCCCTTGACTGCTTGCTTGAACTCCGCTCTGCGTCGTTCGGGTCAACGGCAGTCGCGTGCAGGAAAGTATAACTTCCTGCACTTGCTAGGATAATAACTATTGTTGTGCCAGCCACCTGCTACTTTTTTGGAGGATTTTGAAGGGTTTTTGTCACTCAGTTGAAGGAAAGTCGTCAAAAAAGTCTGACAACATTGCTACGACATCACTGTTCTTTGTGCATCTCTGGGTCGGCACGGTCTATGTGTTTTTATTTTGTGAATTTGAATATTCCACCTGGCATATTTTTATACTTTGGGAACAGGCAGGCATTAGAAAGCAACGGCTTTGATCGGGCAGGCAGTCAGAAATGTTCTCTTAATGCCTTTAACTGTGATATATTCAATTTTCACTCGAAACGCGATGAGTCGAATTTTGAAAAAACTTTCAATCGATTTTTTTTTTGACAGGCGCTATTTGGCAACTGATTTAGGGTGGGTATTATAAAACTGCTCTGACAGTTAACTTAAAGTTAACTTCTGGAATTACATGTAATTCAAAAAGTTAACTTTAAGTTAACTGTCAAAGCAGTTTTATAATACCTGCCCTTAGGCATTCGAGATCATACTTGGGAGTGTTTGTTCTATGTTCACACAAATGTTCATGCAAAACGCGATGAGTAGGTTTTTGCTTTCACAAAACCTCGTTAAACATTTTTTTATTAATAAACGCAACCGATACAAGCAGGCAGGCACGCGATTTCGTATTGTTCATGATTAATTCTGCACTACCTAAATTTTTCAGCCATAATGAAATCAGCCGGAAATTTTTTCACTGGCTCTTGTACTATAATGAACAAAATAAATGAATGTGAATTTATATACCTTACATGAACAGAGTCGGACATTTAATCTTTTTAAATTCTTGGAAGTGTTTCTCCCTTGCGAAAACTTGCTTCCTCTCTTAAGAGTATGTCTGGAATCTGCAGTCAGTGTAACTTGTCCTGTGTCTTCAGAGAACCCCCAAAAGGCAGCGATCTTATTTTTGGTGGGACATGTGATAAGTGCAAAAAGGTGTTCTGTAAAAAATGCGAGAAGTGGGCAGCAACAGAGGTGAGATTTATTGAGATGATTTCTAGAAAAATACAGTACTTTTGTCAAGAGTGTTCATAATGAACACCATATTGAAAGTATCTTCATGCAAAACCGAAAGCTAAGCGAACTTGTTATTAAGATGGAGGAAAGGATTGAGGAGAATAACATTAATTTTTGCGAACAAATAGACGATTTTAATACCACCATAAGAGAGACAGAAGGACAAACGGATGCATTACGTAGAAATACGATAGAGTTTCAGGATGAAGTATTTTTAACTGAGAGGGAGCATGAATCTGAAACTGATAGACTTAAGAGTGAGAATAAATCATTAATGCAGAGCTTGTTGGGAGCAAAACTGGTAAACTAAGAGCTTAAGATAGACATGGAGAAGTTTGGCCCAAAAATTAAAAATGATTTAGATACCGGAAGATTAGAAAATGAGAAACTAAGACAACATATAATTGATCTTACAAGAATAATTAAAGACAAGAAACAGGAAGTTGACTATAAGAGTGACGAAATAAATCAATTGAAAAAAGAGTTGGAAATGAAAGATAAAGAAATAACAATGTCAAGACAAAACTATTCTGCGCTGGAAGGAATTAATACAAAAGTAATACTAACAGTGTCTGATCTTGAAAAACAATTGGTTAAAACACAGTCTGAAAAAGACACGGTGGAGGATAGAAATATTGAAATTGAGGCAAAATTGTAGCGAAGAGCAGTTGGTTGAACGAGACAGTAAATTTGTTGAAGACTGAATGGAGGAAGTTGCAGCCGGCAAAGAAGATATTAAAAACCTCAATACCGAAATCGGAAGAATGTTGCAAATTAACTGTAATTTGACTTATGATCTAGAGAAATATTTACATGATATTGATGATCTGAAGCGTGAGAATAGGAAACTTTAGGAGACCGGAAGTGAGGGTGGTGCAGTAGGTCAGTTAAAGAAAATTGTTAGGCAAAGTATCAATAGGACATAGCAAGGGTTTCTGCTTCAAATACCGATGGTGTCTTTTCCTCAAGTGGTTCCAGTGGTAAACAGATAGAAACATCCTTGCCCAATGAACTATCAGCTATAGATCGGCATCAGTAAATGGCAAGTACCGGTGGCTCTATAACGCTTATGTCTACACCTCCATCTACACCGGTTTCAGCCTGTCCCATAAGTAAGAGCAACATCTTGGTTTTTGGAGACGAGAGTTCAAGAGGCGTGGTTAATGGTCTACTTAACTTGACTAGTGCTTATTCAATTTATGGAGAATGTCACCCTGCTATTACTGCCTCCCAGATGGCTGACAAACTGTTCCATTGATTTTTTCTGTGTCATATTTAAATTCTGAATACAATAAGTATGTAGGTTTTGTTTCCTTTTGTCAAAATTTTCTTATAAAACATAATGCATCCATTAGAATTTTAGATAATAATAAGGTAAATGGCAGATTTCGATTGTCAAGGCTTTCTTTTTTAAGAAATTTACTTTTGTAGGTATGTAAAGACCAGCACCAGTTTGAAACACGTTTTTACCCTTTCTACCAATAAATATTGTGTTATCGAACACTCAGCTTTCGAAATCAGTCGAAAACTGCCATGTACCGAACAAGATTCTTTTTTAGAGTAAGGAAATCTGTCACATGCATATCTTTGTTGCTTCTAAATATTCAATCAGTTCGTAACAAAGCTGATAATTTATATGTTTTTCTAGAGGAATTAAAACTTCCTAACATTGTTTTATTAACGGAACACTGGCTTAAGCCGGATGAACCATTACATGTTCCCGGATATTCTATTAGGTATTTCTAGGTTTTGTAGGGAGCACTCCTTGCATGGCGGTACTGTTGCCTTTGTGGATGATTATATTTTTGCTATTTTTTGTAATTTTAATGATTATGATGATTTGCTGGTTGAAATTCAGTTTGAGTTTTCCATTATTCACTCCAAAAAGCTAAAATGTTTCATTATTTGTATTTATAGATCTCCAAATTGCAACTTAAATGTCTTTCTTGAAAGACTTGAATTTCTTTTGCCTAATTTCCTACAAATAACACAGTGATAGTTGCTGGTGACCTTAACATAGATTTTGAGGACACTGATAACAGATCAACCATCAATCTGTTAAACTTGTTCTAGTCCTTTAATCTTAACATGCACGTTCGGGAATCTACGCGCATCACTGAAACCTCATCCACTACAATTGACTACATTGGCTCAAATATAAATGAAGACGTGTCAGCGGCGGATTTAGGATTCCTTCTAGGGGGGGGCGATCCATCAGGGCCTCAGGCTCAGATAAGAAATAATAAAAAAACGACTTAAATATACAGAGTGGCAAAAAAGTCGCGTATAATACCTGTAACTTTCTAATTACCTCGTATACGAAAAAGTGACCTTAATGAAAGTTGCTCAGTAAATTAGGGACATAAAGCTTCCGTATTTTTTGCTCGGTATCCGTATCGGTATCGTACTGCGCATGTGCAGAAGCGATACGGAGGCCGAGATACCGTACGTACAACGTAACGTTACGGCCCTCTCGCGGTATCCGTATCGGTAACGTATCTTCACATTCCTGACGCATGTGTCAAATTTCAAATGAATATAACCTCCCTTTTCTTCCGGGTTGATTTAATTTGTTTAGTTTATACTTTCTTGAGTTTCTTGTGTGTTTAGTGCTTCTCTATCGCAAAAAAATAACAATTTTAAGGTTAGATATAAAAACGCCGAAGTTTTGAGACAAAAATGTCTAGGTTATGAAATGCGTTTACGTTTACCGGAACAGGGAGCGCTTTAACAGCCTTTTCGCTTGTCAACGTATCTAGTTGCGTTACGGATACCGATACCGATGAATTATTTCAAGTAGCTTTATGTCCCTAATATTTCCCACAATTCTACTTAAACGTATTGCCTGTGTCACTTCTGGTTTGTTTGCTATCTAGACCAACTTTCTTTTTTTCAAATAAAACACCCTGTATGTGATTGCATATTTGGATTCTACGTCAAATTCTGAGCAGATTTCATGTGATATACCCTATACCTAAGTACAACTGTTTTGGAAATATTGACAGTTGAACATTGACTTTTTGCAACTTTGACAGGCTGTAAAACCTGAACGGTTTATTTCAGAGGAAAACCGATTTCACATTCCTATCTTAGATTTTCAGAAACTATCATTTGACATCAACATTTAATTTAATCGGAGATTAAATTTAATTGGAATTTTCAATTATAGATTAAATTCAAAGTTGGTGCGGATTTACGTCATCCGCAGTCGATTCGCTCCCAGCTCGCTGCTGCCTAACGTATTTAAAAGTATTAAAAATTTGGAAAAATAGCAAAAACCATATGGAATTTCATGTTGGATAATGCTTGATGAATATGTTTGTGTTTTCGTTAAAAATTTCGTTGTTGCGTCGCTCAATAGGGGGGGGCGCGCGTCCCCCGCGCCACCCCTCTAAATCCGCCACTGAGACGTGTCTTGTTCCGTGCTTGATCCTGAACTTTCTGATCATCGAGCTATTTTAGCTACCTTCCCTTTCAACTACGATAACAGTAATAATACAGCAAAACTAGGACGAATTTACAGTATTGGCAACTTTCAGAAATTTCTTGTGGGTCTTTTAACTGGGACTCCGTTTTCGGAGATCCTGATCCTTTAAGTGCTTTCCATAATACTCTTGCCAACCTGATCGGCAAAGCCTTTTCTCTTCGCCGCTTAAAACCAAAGCGCAAAGATCGAAGAAAATGGCTGACACTTGGAAATCGCACTTCTGCCTCTAATCTTAGATTCTTCAACAGTCTTAGGAAAGCGTACTCTAATAATGCCTTCTTACAATCCTACTATCTTTTTTATAAATATAGGAAGGTCACTCGTAAAGCCAAAGAGTTATTTTACTTTAAACGCCTGTCTAAATCTAACAAGAAACAAAAAGAGTCATGGATTATCGTTAACGAAATAACTAATAGGGCAAATAATTCATCTCAAGTAAACATCGACAGCAATATTCTAAATCAATATTACTGCTCAGTGGCTCTTCATTCAACCAAAGATTTACCATCCAATAGAAGATTTCATTATGGAATGACTTTGGCAGAAAGTCGACAAACAAAGTCACATAACCTATAAATAGAAATTTAATAATTATGGCAGTTTTGGGAGACCTTGATATGTTTTATCGAGAGGCGATGAAGCGATGTGTGTTTGGTGATTGTAAAAGTGATAGTCGAACGAGTTCTATTAAATTAACGACCCCATTTGCCTCTACTGGAGTTTTAGGTAACACAGCACCTGTCACATAACTTTCTGGTAATTTTATCAAACGTTTTGCAACCAAAGAAGCCATAGCGAATGCACCGAATACTTACGAAAGCGTAGATTTGACAAGATGCTGTGTTACCTTGAACAGTGGAGGCAAATGGGGTCGTTAATTTAATGGAACTCGTTCGACTATCACTTTTACAATCACCAAACACACATCGCTTCATCGCCTCTCGATAAAACATATCACGTTCTCCCAAAACTGCCATAATTATTAAATTTAAGCCCAAAATTGAAAAAAAATTAATAACATTGACAATGCTATTTATAGGTTATGTGACTTTGTTTGTCGACTTTCTGCCAAAGTCATTCATAATGAAATCTTCTATGGCCGAGTTCGTTTTAGTCATCTTTTTCGTCAATTTGCTCCGAAATTTTGACAGGCACGTGACTGGATAAGACAGTTTCAATTTACAAATCACGTGCCTGCCAAAATTTCGGAGCAAATCGACGAAAAAGATGACAAAAACGAACTCGGCCTATATAGACCCACTCTCATATCTGTCAAACATCAACATTCCCGAACACTTCCATGCGTTTCGTCCCAAAAACAATCAATTCCATGAAAAATAAAAAAGCCGCCACTGACGATGGTATCTCATTAAAAATTCTAGAGAGTCTTCCCAATAACGCCATCGCCACATTATCTGATGTTATGAATTTATCTTTTATGACAGGCACTTTTCCATCATCCTTTAAAATTGTCAAAGTCCTCCCTCTTAAGGCCGGGACACATCTATCATGCATTCTTCCGATCCGACTCCGATCATACAATCAAGGTCCTTATTCTTGGAACAGGGGAGCAGCGTTCCCAGAAGAACGCCTGGGGACACTGCTCCCTGTTCCAAGAATAAGGACCCTGATTGTATGATCGGAGTCGGATCGGAAGAATGCATGATAGATGTGTCCCGGGCTCAAGGGCGGCGATCACGCAGCTCCATCTAACTACAGACCCATTTCTTTATTGTCAACGCTCTCCAAACTTATTGAAAGTCTCGTAAAGTCTCGTCTTATGTCATTTCTGGCTGACAACAGATGACAGTGTCATATAGCCTGGAAATCAGTTCGGATTTCAAGCTAACAAAAAAAAATCTGACGCTATGTATTTGTTTCTATCTAGAGTCTTCCAGTCCATTAACGAACGTGAAGCCTCGGCCGCAGTGTTTTGCGACCTGTCTAAGGCGTTTGACTGCGTAACTCACGAGATAGTGCTGCGAAAACTTTACGCCAAAATAGTATCCTTACTCTTCCTGACGGACCAGCCACCTTGGCTGAAGGTCCCGCATCAGCCGCCTCTAGGGATGGTCTGGGTAGACCAGCCTCAGATATCGGTTTGGTATTATCAGCCGTCAGGAGAAGCACATCTGACCTTGGCTGATTTTGATTTTGAGGAAGTTGAATTT